AATCTCTTGGTAAAAATCAATTTTTTTGGAATTTGAGGTGCTCGCGATCAGATTAAAAATTTGTTTAAAAATATTTAATGACCGAAACTATTGCTAAATCTTATCAGGAACTGTAGAACTCTTTGAGAACCATAAAATATCATGTTTAAAATTAATTTTTTTGAAACATGAGGTGCTACAGGAAGTTAGCACCTCATATTTCAAAATTTATTTTTTTTAACTAAATTAACGGAACTCTTTCTAAAAATTATCGGGAACTGTAGAACTATTGCGGGTGCAAATGGAACTGTTGATAAAACTTTCGATTTTTGAAAGTGAGGTGCCAATTTCACAGAGACCCTGATACCGTCCTTTGATTGGCTGACATCAAAATAAGACACGAGACCTCCATCAGAGGTCACGTGATCACTGTCACGTGATCTGTCTCTCGTAGAGGCTCTCTCGTTTGCCGGGTCCGCAAATAATTTATTTGTTTCCTTGTTTAGTGTAATTACGTGATATATTGTCGTATAAGTAAGTACATTTTGTCGTTTTTGTTCATCGGCTTAGGGTCGACAACCGTGCCGTGCCCGTATACCGTGAACATTTCTATTTGTCTTTTTTTCTATCTTCCTGTTATTTTTTTCTGTCCGTGCACGGTACGTATGGCTGTCTGAATCGACCCTAAGAGTACATAAATTCTATTCAGAACATAATCATAATTAGAACACAAAAAAGCACAAGGCGCATAAACTCAATTTTCACAGTATAACCTCAACCTCAATTTTTCTAGTTTCTGTTCTTTACTTTATTTTGTTTTCAGTGCTTTGATTAGAGCCGTATCAACTTGTCAGTTTTACTGACTATATTATAAATGGCCTTAGATCTGTTGAATGCGTCCCAAACTCATGGATTTCGTACGATACAAAGATTGGATCTTGCATGGTGCGTTACATGGAGCCTCCATACGGTGATGAAGAAAAAAAATTAATTCACGATTTAATAAAAAACATGAGTAATCCGCCAAAAAGTTGGCCTCTGTATCTGCAGGGTCATGCAAGTAAAGCCTAGATTTCACTTTAAATCTTAATCTCAGATCTGCAATTTATTTTACTGCAATTTTATTATTTGTTAAGGAACATTCAGAGGGATTGAAAAAAATAAAAAAACTTTGTACCCAAGAATTTGTCTATACAACAGCGACTGAAGACGAAGGAGAAAAAAAATCGAAAGCAATAACTAATTTAATAAAAAATGCGAATCCACTAAAAGAGAAGTCAATTAAAGATCTTTTACGTCGAAAAAATTTGTCATCTGATAATGAATCAGAATCAGAAAGTTTGAACAGTGAACATTGTAAACGTAAGTTTGTGTCAATTTCTCAATTTAATTATTTAATAGAAAATTTAGAAGTAAAGTTATTAAACTTAATATATGTTACATTTTATTTTTAATTTAAATAAAACTTATTTTTTTTCTGTCAATCTTTAGCTACTGATAAAAGTTCTTCCGGATCGGAACCTGTTTGTCCTACCTTTCATAAGAAGATAATAAAACAAAATGTGAAGAAAGTATATAACAAATCATCAACAAATTATGATGGAAAAAATAAAACAAAAAATATTTTTAAAAAATTAGCAATATCTTCATCCATTCAATCTTCAGCTTTAAAATCTTATTCCATTAATGTAGAGAATATTACTGCTGGTAAAAAAGCAACAGAAAAGCTTAAAACATCAAAAGTCTTACTACCAAGCAAGTGTCAGAAGTCGGTATATAAGGAAAATATCCCAACAGATTTATCAGGTCATGGCGATCAAGATCAAAGAAATAAAGATCAGCTTATCGATGAAAACAAGGTCAACAACGTTTTTACCTCCAAAAGTAATATATATTATATATAATAATTGATTTAATTAGAATAGAAAATTTGTATCGAGTATAATATTAAGATTTATTAATAATAATCGTTAATTACTATTTGCAGGTGATGTGATACTTTATCGTACGCTGATGAAATTAGTCATAGTTGTCAAGTCCTAAGGTCCGGAAATCCAGGAACTTTGATACACACTTGAGCGATCTCTAAGAACAGATGGTTGTCGAGTCACAACCAACACTTTTGTAGAAAAATACGACTTTAAACAAATACGTTCAGTCGATGATTTTTGAACATTTGACAATCGTTTAAAGGACGATGAAGACTTTCGTAATGACTTCGTAAGTTTTGAACTACAAAATGTGTCTTTAGTCAATTTCATTTACATTTTCATTTCTCTGTTTTGCAGAAAGCTGCAATAGATTGCATTGCAGAATCAAAGATGAAGAAAACAATCAATGCAGTTCTAAAAAAATTTTTTGCACAGAAATTTGCCTTAAAGTGTACTGCTGTGAGGGAATCTAAGAAAAAAGGAGAAAAGTTAATATTAAAAGAAACGCAGTTCTATGAACAACTATTTGGTATGTATTAATATTACTGTAAATAAAATTAGGTTTTGAAGTTTTACAAAATATATATATTGTTTTAGAGTTCGTCAGAAGGATTTATTCAGTCGAGGATTTATTCAGTCGAGGAAACCATGACTGAAAAAATATATTACCAGAACCTCGCAATGTGTTTAAACAATTTGAAAAACTGGGATGGAGGACGCAAGATGCGTCAGCGAGACCTTTAAAATAAACGGCGGAATATATGCATCAGCGTACGATAAAGTATCGCATCACCTGCAAATAGTAATTAACGATTATTATTAATAAATTTTAATATTATACTCGATACAAATTTTCTATTCTAATTAAATCAATTATTATATATAATATATATTACTGTTGGAGGTAAATGGTATTAATATATAAATTAAATTGTACTTAATTTTGTATTTATTTTATATACATCCACACACACACACGCACCCAAAAAAGTGGGTATATTCCTGGGAATGATAGGGCCATCTTAGGGGATTATAAGGGATTTCATAAGGTGTCCGAAAGTAGAATTAGAATCGGGCAATAACGCAAAGAGACGTCGATGGTTTTCTTCTCGAGACATGTTCAAGAGAATTCGATGAAAGAAAAAACACCGTATTATTTGTTATTCCTCCTGTTTGTCGTTGGTGAGTCGCAGGTAAAGTCAAAAAGTCACGCGGTGAAATTGACAACCAACGGCAATCAGGACAGCCTCCGTATAGCGGAGTGCTCCGAGCACGTGCGCTTCCATCACGTGACGCCTCATCCACCAACCCCGTCACTGAAATCGGCGTGGAGACGTGACGTAACGAGCTCCGGCCCTATGCAACGCGACGCTACGCGGTGACCGCCAATTCCTTCAAGGGAAGCGAGTCCATTGGTCTAATGGATGAGACGTCACACCGTCACCAAACATATAAATAAATGTAGCGCGGTAATGGGAGAGGACTTGTTCGCTCTCGCTCGCAATAGACACCGTCGTCTCTCGTAACGCAAGTTGTCGCGAATCTGAAACGGAAACTGTGATCATTCGAGAACTTTCTTGTAGACTGTTTGTGAAAATAAACTCATCGTTATTGAAATCAGAACTCTGTTGAGATACAAAACCGATCCTCCCGTTCCTGACCAACCATCGCGCGCGCTCAAACATTTTTTGGTCCTTCGAGCCGGATTCGGGTTCCGCGTCCGTGTACGGTCTGTGAGTGCGTGCTCCGGTCAGCTCCAATAAACCTGCGAAGTAATCGGCGCAATGAGTCTCGACATGAATGCTCTCCTCATAAGACAGCAAGAGTTACTCTATATCCCGAGCAACGGACAACACGAGAAAGTTGGGCAAATCCAACGTTACTCAAGGCATCCTTGAAGCTCGCATTAAAACGCTGGACTCCAGCTGGGAGAAATTTCAAGCCCAACATGAGATTCTCTGCACGCGATTCTTCGCTGAACTCAGCAAAACCGAGTACTTCACGACGGATCTATATGAAACCACAGAGAATGCTTACGTTATGCAACGGGGCACCCTGACTGACTGGGCAACCAGCCTGACGCAAACGGAGAGAAGTGGCAATGCAGCAACCGCTTCAGCCAGGGAGGCCACTCCGCACAACCTCCTGCCGCGCATCAACCTGCCTCAGTTCTCGGGTGCCATTGAGGACTGGATCTCCTTCCGCGACCTGTTCCTCTCCGTCATCAATCGCCATCACACGATCACGGACGTTGAGAAGCTGCATTACCTTCAAACGTCCCTGCAAGATGAAGCGGCAAAATTAGTGAGAGACATACCTCTAATCCACGGCAATTTTGAGCGAGCCTGGGTTACGCTCCGGGAGTTTTACAAAAATCAGCGAGTCCTGGTGCGCTCCAACTTCGCCGCTTTCACGGCTCTCGCGAAGATGAAAAGCGAGTCCGCGATCAAGCTGCGACGAATCTTCCACGGCATGACAAACACCGTGAACGCTCAGGAGAGCCTCGGTCGACCAATCGCCACTCACGGCATGGATCTCTTCGTCCACATCGTGGTCGAGCTCTTCGATCCGCAAACTCGTCGCGACTGGGAGACCACCATCCGGACATCGTCGAAGCCTCCCGAGTACGACACCTTCCGAACCTTCATCATCGAGAAGATGCGCTCGCTCGAGGCTCTCTCGCCTGTCACATCCAAGGGTGAGTCCAAGACCAGCCAAGCCAAGGCTAGCGGCACGCGATCCGCGAAGTCTAACCATGCCAAGACCACCTCGGGATCGGGCAGCTGCGTGGTGTGCAAGAACTCACACTATCTGATGGGCTGTAGTGAATTTCGAGCGAAGACTCCGAGCGAGAGAAAGAGCATAGTTGAGAGCAAGAACTTATGCTCTAACTGCTTAGGCAACCACCCTATTGCCAAGTGTCCGTCGACCAAGACGTGCATCATCTGCAACGCGAAACACCATTCGCTGCTGCACGATGGCACCTCCAAACCAGCGGTCGCCGAGGCCAGCACCCTCACGGCAGTGCAGCATGGCGACGATCGCAAGGCCATTCTGCTGGCCACCGCACGCCTCTCCATCACTGACCGCCATGGAAATCAGCAACCGGTGAGAGCTCTGATTGATCAGGGCTCAGAGGTCTCGCTGATCTCCGAGGCGCTGGCGCAACGACTCAAGCTGCAGCGCTCCAAGTCGACCTTCGCCATCTTCGGCATCGGGGGGACTCGTTCCGGCCAGGCTCGAGGGAAAGTCACCCTGCAGCTCACATCAAAGATGACTGGAGCAACAGTCACCGCGGTCGCCGTCGTTTTGCCGCATCTGTCGCTCTACCACGGCACAGGCCTGCGACAGATCGACGCCTGGCCGCACCTCCTCAACCTTCAATTGGCTGATCCTCAGTTCTCGGCCACTGATCCAGTCGAGCTGCTGCTCGGCGCCGAGGTCTGCTCAGTCATCCTCGAGGAGGGCCTTCGAAAAGGCGATCCTGAGGCGCCCATTGCCCAGCATACCGCTTTCAGCTGGATCATCTCCGGCGGTGCGACTGCAGCGTCGCTGCACGGAGCTTCGTCCTGCCACGCCGCTATCGACCAAGAGCTCACTAGCCTGGTGCAAAAGTTCTGGGAACAGGAGGCGGAGACTAAGCCGGTCGCCGCCCTGACTCCTGCCGAGCAACAATGCAAGGAACACTTCGTGCGAACGCACCTCCGGCTGCCGTCGGGACGGTACATAGTGCGCCTCCCGTGGGCAACCCCTCCAGCTGATCTCCACGAGACTCGTCAAGCAGCGCTGCACCTCCTCCGCTCCATGGAACGGAAGAGTGCCAAGGATCCCCGATTTGGCAAGCTGTACCAGGCCTTTCTGAAAAAGTACGAGGACCTTGAGCACATGACGGTGGCAGCCGCTCCTCAACAAGGTGAGCAAGTTGTTTACTTACCGCATCACGGTGTCCTCAAGGAGGCGAGCACCACCACCAAACTCCGCGTCGTGTTTAACGGGTCGCAACGCGTATCGACGGGCGAGACTCTCAACTCTTTTCTGCACGTGGGCGCAAATCTGGTGCCGCCGCTGGCCGACGTCCTGCTCCGATGGCGTCGTCACTTGTTCGCGATGATAGCGGACATTGAAAAGATGTACCGCCAAGTATTGGTGCATCCCGATGACCGCGATTATCAGCGCATCGTGTGGCGCCCGACCCCGACGAGTGAAGTGCTCGACTACCGCACGAACACTGTAACGTACGGCATGGCTAGTTCGCCGTTTCTTGCCATAAGATCCATCAAGCAACTAGCCAAGGACGAGCAAGTCCGATATCCGGAGGGCGCAGAGACCCTCGAGGAAGACTGTTACGTGGACGATGTCGTCACTGGGGCGTCAACTCTCCGCGGCGCGATCGTCCTTCAGACTCAACTTCGCGCGTTGTGCGGATTCCCGCTCCGTAAGTGGGCCGCCAACAACGAGGACGTGCTCGACGGGATTCCTCTTGCGCACCGGTTACACCAAACGTCACACGACTGGGACCTCGAGAGCCACTCTACTCTCGGCTTGCGCTGGTTCACGGGCACAGACAGTTTCGCGTTCCAGATCAAGTCACGCGTCGTCCCTACATTCACGAAACAAACCGCATTAGCTGAAACCGCCCGATTGTTTGACCCGCTCGGATGGCTCGCCCCAGTCGTTGTGCGCGCAAAAATTCTCATGCAATCCGCGTGGATGCAGAGACTCGAATGGGACACACCACTCCCACCAGCCGACGCGCGCGTGTGGCAGGAGCTCATCGCCGAGCTTCCCATCCTCGAGGCCGTCCGGATTCCCCGCTGGATAGGGGTCGGGACGTGCGACATTCGGTTCGAACTCCACGGATTCGCCGACGCGTCGGAGCGCGGCTTCTCAGCTGTCGTCTATCTCCGCGTGACAAACGCGTCCGACGACACTCAGGTGCACTTGCTCGCGGCCAAAACGAGGGTCGCCCCGTTAAAACAGGTGTCATTGCCGCGCCTTGAACTCTCGGCCGCCGCCCTCCTCACTGACACCGCGCACCACGTTCAAGACACATTGAAACTGCCTGCTTCGGAGACTCATTTGTGGTCAGACCCCACGGTGACCCTCCACTGGATTCGTGGTCATTCATCGCGGTGGAAAACGTACGTTGCGAACCGCGTATCACACATACAGCGGCGCCTCCCGGAAGCCCGATGGCACCACGTGCCGGGCAGTGAGAATCCTGCCGATTGTGCTTCGCGCGGCATCTCTCCTCGCAAACTCCTGGACCATCCGCTGTGGTGGAGCGGCCCTGGTTGGCTCAAACTGCCTAAGTCCTCCTGGCCGAGCAAGCCCAACGAGGACTTCGACGAGGACACTGGGGAGCAGCGAGCGTCCTGCAGCACCGCCATTGTGGAGGCGAACGAGCCCGAGTTGCTGCGTCGCTTCTCTGGGCTGCAGCGGCTCCTTCGAGTGACAGCGTGGTGTCTTCGCTGGCGCCGTCCTCAGAAAACGTCACTCACTCCCGAGGAAGTCACTCGCGCAATTCACGTTTGGCTCCGCACCGTGCAGCACTGCCACTACGGCACTGAGATCACCACACTCAAGGCCACTCAGCCTGTTCATCATCGCAGTCGGCTCGCCCGGCTGAATCCCTTCCTCGACGTTCACGGAATTCTCCGAGTTGGAGGCCGCCTGAAACACTCCATCCTCCCCTTCGACGAACGCCACCCGACAATTATCCCGCCGACGTCGTGGCTCACTCGACTCATTGTGGATTCCTGTCATCGACGAACACTGCACGGTGGGGTGCAACTCACTCTGGGCACCGTCCGTCAGCAGTACTGGATACCTCAAGGACGAGCCGTGGTGAAACAACTGCTGCATCGATGTGTCACAGTGCTCGGTGGCGGGCGGCCACTCCACAGCCGCCAATGGGCAATCTACCCGGGGCCCGAGTCACGCCGTCGCGACCGTTTCTCCGCACTGGGCTAGATTATGCTAGTCCAATTCTGCTTTGCACCACAAAGAACCGAGGACACAAGGCGCATAAGGCGTTCATCGCCGTCTTTGTTTGCATGAGCACTCGCGCCGTGCACTTAGAAGTCGCGTCGGATTATTCTGCCGACGCTATCCTTGCCGCATTTCGCCGATTCACCTCACGCCGCGGCACGTGCAGCGACGTATACAGCGATTGCGGCACCAATTTCGTGGGAGCCGACCGACAACTCCAGGAGCTTTTCTGGGCCTCCACCTCCGACGGCCGTCGAATCGCGCACACCACTTTAGGACAAGGGACACGCTGGCACTTCAATCCTCCCTCCGCCCCTCACTTTGGAGGGCTATGGGAAGCCGTCGTGAAGTCGGCAAAACACCACATTCGGCGAGTGATTGGCGAAGCAACACTAACATTCGAGGAAATGTCCACCTTCCTCGCTCAGGTGGAAGCTTGCCTCAACTCTCGCCCGCTGCAAGCAATGTCCGACGATCCTGACGACTTCACGACACTGACTCCGGGTCACTTTCTCATCGGAAGCCCGCTCAACGCCATCCCGGAACCGGCCCTCGACTGTCACTTGGCTCAATTGGTGGCGACACGTGCAGCTCATGCGAGACCACTTTTGGCAGCGATGGGCTCGCGAGTACATCCAAAGCCTTGCATCGCGACCAAAATGGTTGAAGGCGAGCCCTGCAATCGGGGCCTTGTGCCTCATCAAAAGTGAGACTGCACCACCGACGAGATGTCCCTTGGCGCGCATCACCTTGTTGCACCCTGGCGACGATGGCATCGTCCGCGTGATCGCCGTCCGGACGGCGACGACCGAGCTCACGCGGCCACTCACCAAAATTGTGTTGCTTCCCGCAGCAACCGCGGAAAATCAAGTTATCACTCACGAGTGAGCACCACGAACGCTCACAACACGTCACTAATCACGCATTCTGTTCGCAGAACGAAACCTGTCACTTGTTTTGCTCTAATTTAGCGCGGATTCGGCACAGATCAACACCAGGCCACAACTGACCACTGCGCATACACGGCCGCGCAGTCCACCACGTGCTTCGAGCGTAGCATCGATCATCGATGCACATCGACCGTGGCAGTACATCTAGGGACATCATGCGGAGCTCATCGGCACTACGTGCCAAGGCGGGCGGGATGTCCGAAAGTAGAATTAGAATCGGGCAGTAACGCAAAGAAACGTCGATGGTTTTCTTCTCGAGACATGTTCGAGAGAATTCGATGAAAGGAAAAACACCGTATTATTTGTTATTTCTCCTGTTTGTCGTTGGTGAGTCGCAGGTAAAGTCGAAAAGTCACGCGGTGAAATTGACAACAACCAACGGCAATCAGGACAGCCTCCGTATAGCGGAGTGTTCCGAGCACGTGCGCTTCCATCACGTGACGCCTCATCCACCAACCCCGTCACTGAAATCGGCGTGGAGACGTGACGTAACGAGCTCCGGCCCTATGCAACGCGACGCTACGCGGTGACCGCCAATTCCTTCAAGGGAAGCGAGTCTATTGGTCTGATGGATGAGACGTCACACCGTCACCGAACTTATAAATAAATGTAGCGCGGTAATGGGAGAAGACTTGTTCGCTCTCGCTCGCAATAGACACCGTCGTCTCTCGTAACGCAAGTTGTCGCGAATCTGAAACGGAAACTGTGATCATTCGAGAATTTTCTTGTAGACTGTTTATGAAAATAAACTCATCGTTATTGAAATCAGAACTCTGTCGAGATACAAAACCGATCCTCCCGTTCCTAACCAACCATCGCGCGCGCTCAAACATAAGGCAATTATCAAGGCCCTGATTATTTAGCCTCTAAGGGCCCTCAGTGAAAAAACGTGACCGGCCTTAAAGGGTTCTTATTGGGCTTCCACATTAGAGCCCAAACAAAGTTAGGGAAAATTAACAGGGGCTTTATCAAAGTCCTAACGCAATTTCTACACGTACGGGCCGTATTTTGACGTATTTGATTTTATTTCGCCGTATTTTGCCGTGTTTGATTTTATTTCAACGTTTTTGTACCGTATTTGATTTTTTTTCGCCGTATTTTACCGTATTTAATTTTATTTTGCCGTATTTTACCGTGTTTGATTTTCAACGTTTTTTACCGTATTTGATTTTATTTCGCCGTATTTGATTTTATTTCACCATATTTTTTGCCGTGTTTGATTTTATTTCAACGTTTTTTACCGTATTTGATTTTATTTCGCCGTATTTTACCGTGTTTGATTTTATTCCAACGTTTTTTTACCGTATTTAATTTTATTCTGCCGTATTTTACCGTGTTTGATTTTATTTCAACGTTTTTTACCGCATTTGACTTTATTTCAACGTTTTTTATTTGATTTTATTTCACCGTATTTTACCGTATTTGATTTTATTTCACCATATTTTACCGTGTTTAATTTTATTTCAACGTTTTTTTACAGTATTTGATTTTATTCTGCCGTATTTTACCGTGTTTAATTTTATTTCAACGTTTTTTACTGTATTTGATTTTATTTTGCCGTACTTTATATTTGATTTTATTTCGCCGTATTTTACCGTGTTTGATTTTATTTCAACGTTTTTTTACCGTATTTGATTTTATTCTGCCGTATTTTACCGTGTTTAATTTTATTTCAACGTTTTTTACCGTATTTGATTTTATTTCAACGTTTTTTCCCAATCAGCAGACAATGTTTTTTAAATGTGTTTTTAATATTTATTTTTTATTCATTATACATTCGTACAATTGTTACAATTGTACAAATGTTACAATTGTTACAATTGTACAAATGTTACAATTGTTACAATTGTACAAATGTTACAATTGTTACAATTTATTGTAAAAATAATATTTATTTAGTGTTTATTTAACATTTATTTGACATTAATTTAATATTTATTTTATATTAATTATTTATTTGCAATAATGATTTTAAAAAACATTTATTTAATATTTATTTGACATTAATTATTTATTTGCAATAATGATTTTAAAAAATGTTTATTTAACATTTATTTGATATTAATTGTGGGGTTGTAGGTCAGGATTAGGTTAAGGTGCGTCGTTCCCACAAATAACGAAA